GCCCCCGGGGGCGGGCGGCGGGAGCCGCTGCCAGAGCTGACACCAGCACGGTGACAGCGACGGACCAGTGACACTGGTGGGGAGGGATGGTTGGAGCACTCGCGGGGTGCTGAGTGGAGGCACCAAACCTGCCGTTCTTGGGAGAGCTGCTGGGTGCCAAGGGACAGTCAGTGGCCCCCTCCTCCTGCACCAGGGACGAGGACAGTGCCACTGGGAGAGGGACAGCGTGGCTGCCCTCGTGACCTTGCTAGATAATGGGACCCCCATGATGGTGGAGCTGGGGGTCGCCTCTGCCACAGGAGGGGCGGGGGGTGGCTCCAGCATGGTCAGGCTGGAGAAACACCGAGGCTTTCTCCACCCGGCAGCGGTGCACAAGCCACCCGCACCGTATCCTGGTGATGGGAATGTGCGACGCAGCAGAAACGGAGGAGGTCAAAAACGCTGATGCTGAGCGAATAGCAGGGCAGCTCCGCACAGAAATCATCAGGGACGCAGCGGAGCAAACTCCACTCTGGCCTTGCAGCAACGCCGTGGGCTGGAGCGCGGAGCAGCCTGTCCCTCCCCTGCACCCAGTCCCTCCGGCTGCGTGGGAGAGAAGAACCACGAGGGACGGTGACGGACGTGCCCAGCGCCGGCCCAGCCCTGCTGCCCTCTGCGGAGGATGCTGAGCTTTGCCCCAGCCCCAGCTCCCTGCCCGGGCGCCCTCTCTGCTACCCACATCCCTGCAGCGGCAAGACCTCGGCCCGCAGAGCATCGCTCCAGGGGGGTGCAGGACGGGTCCCCTCCAAGGGGGGACAAACCTCGGCGAGAGGCGTCGGAAGCTCTTCCAGCAGCAAGGGTGGGACGCGGCCCACCCCCATTCCCTGCAGGCGCCGCTCAGCAGCCACAGGCTTTTCGCTTCATTTGTTTTTCATTGCTCTTGCCAAAAGGCCGATGCTCTGACCAAGAGAGGCATTTAATGATCAGGGGAATCACAGCTCCCCCCAGGACAGCCCATCAGGTGGGGGCTGCAGGCAATGGTGCCCCCACAAACACTGCCCTGGTGCTGGGGGCTCCCACACAGCAGGACCTGCTGGGTGTACTGGGGGGGAGCGGGGGGCATCCCCAGCAGCAGCCAGATCCCCCGCTCAACGCATTACTCTGGCTGGAGAGACAGCATTAATTCCTCTTGAATTAGAGATTATTTTCATTACAGTCACTCAGTTCTTAAAGTCCTTTCGTGCCACTTGACACGGGCATTAATGCTCCCTTCCAACCTGCAGACTTAGAGGTTGCATTTGCCCACGTTACTGGAGAGGGGACACAGGTGGGGTATAGTCAGTCGCTGGCACAGCCCCAGAA